GTTGGCTTTGGCAAAATCCCTTAGCTTCTGCTTATCCTGGAATGTTTTGATTACACCATTGTATTTGATTGCAATTCCTATTTTTGCAGTGTATCCCTTAGTTGTTGTTGTTGTTTTTTTTAATCATTCACAAAGTCAAATGCTTTTGCATAGTCAATGAAACCAAGTAAACATCTTTCTAGTGTTCTGTTTTTAGCCAAGATACATCTGACATCAGCAATAGTGTCCCTCAGTACACAGCCTCTTCTGTAGCTGTCTTGGATTGCTAGCAGTTCCCTACTAATGTACTACTGCAACCAATTTCGAATTTTCTTCAGCAAAACGTTAATTGCGTGAGACATTAGTTTTGTTGTTCAATCATTTTCACATTGTGTTGCATCATGTTTCTTTGGAATGGGCATTGTTGTTGTTGTTAAACATCATTGAGTCTGTTCCAACTGATAGTGATCCTGTATAGGGTTTTCAAGGAGCAGCTGGTGGATTTGAACCACTGCCCTTGTGGTTGTTGTCGTTGTTGTTAAGTGCCGTCAAGTCGGTTCCGACCCATAGCTCGACCCTGTACAGGGTTTCCGAGGCTGTAAATCTTTACAGGAGCAGAACACCTCATCTTTACCCCGCAGAGTGGCTGGTAGTTTCAAACTGCTGGCCTTAAGGTTTGCAACTCAATTAGTAACCACTACACTACCAGAGCCCTTTTGGTTAGTAGTCCAATACTTATCCTACAGTACACACCAGGACTCGAATGGACATTTGGGAATATCAAAATAAAAATGCCAGAGACAAGACAGGAACTTCTATACTTAACTTATTTATTTCCACTGTTGACTTTATCACACTGCTCATAGTAGTTTATCTTAGTGAGGTTGTTGTTGTTGTTAAGTGCCATCGAGTGGGTTCTGACCCATAGCGACCCTGTATAGGGTTTCCAAGGAGCAGCTGGTGAGCTTGAACTACTGACTTTGTAGTTCAGACGGCTTTACAGGACTCCTAGTGAGGTTAAGGGAGTGGAAATAAATAAGTGAAATGTAGAAGTGCTTGTTTTGTCTCTGGCAAATACGATCTTTCTTAAAAAATGCCCTCCATTTACTGATGGGCAGTAAGAGGGGGCACCACTAGCACAGAGGCATGGCATTCTTCTAGGGTGTTTTTTCAAACCTACTCTTTTGGTTGTAGGTATATGCCATACAGTATGGTCTTTTCTGGAGGACAATAACAAGAAAATTGCAGTTGCCCATAAATAATTTTAAAGTTGGTATATATCTAAAAACAAATCTCATATCTATCTCTATGGGCTTTTTTATTTCTCTACCATAGAAATGATAATGTGATGCCTAAAGGATGAACAGTTAATTCAGAATACTTCTTAGCCACATCATCTGAATACAGTTTTTAACTCTATTTGTATTTCATTTTCATTTTAGTTCTTTTACAAAGCTCCCCCACCTAGCAGGAACAGAACAGAATTTATTGCTTGCCAAGAAAATCCGAAACCAATGGAAGGAATCTGGACTAGACTCAGTAAAATTGGTGCCTTATGATGTTCTCCTATCTTACCCTAATGAGACAAATGCTAACTACATATCAATTGTGGATGAACATGGAACTGAGGTAATGTAGAATTGTTGATGTTCTCCTAGTTTATCATAATGGGACCAACGCCAATATCAGTTTTGGATAAATTCATGATTTAGGTAATACAGAATTGTTGGTGGTTTTTATATTTTATAGTCCTGTATTTGAATGTGAATGTGAATGAAGGAAGGCATCTTGAACACTGATTAAGCGTTTGAATCTACTGGTTGCTTAGAGGAAGAAGTATGTGGCAGTATATTTTCATAAAGCTCACAGCTTTACAAATGCTATGGGGTAGTTTTACTGAGTTCTGTAGAGTCATTGAAGTCTTGATGTGGTGCTGTAGGATAGGCACTGGCTTGATTAAGGTCGGCAGTTCAAATCCACCAGCCACTTCTCAGAAAACCTATATAGGGTCTCTATGAGTCAGAACTAACTCGACAGTGCTTAACATCAACTACATGTCACTGTGAGTCAGATCCAGCACTCCAGCAACTAGTTTGATTTTGGCATGGGACTGTAGGACAAAATAGAGAGAGTAATTTGTTAATATGGAAATTGAAGTTTGTGGGGTTTTTTCAAAAATTAGCAGCTGGCAAATTAAGTATTCAGTACCTACAATGTATTACAAGGAGCCCTGGTAGCGTAATGGATTATGAGCTGGGTTACTAACCTCAAAGTCAGTAGTTCAAATCTACTAGTCATTCCACAGGAAAAAGATGTGGCTTTCTACTCTTCTAAAGATTTATAGCCTCAGAAACCCGATACAGAATTGCTATGTGTTGGAACCAACTCAGTAGCACACAGCCACTATTACCACACTGTATTAGGTGTGGTGCTAGGTTCTGAGGCCAGAATGAGGACTAAGACATGGTTCTCATTCTTAAGAAGGTGGAATAGACAATGGAACACTCATTTCAAATCCATGTCTTAAATATTTTAGCGTGTTTTGTTGTTAAGTGCCATCGAATCAGTTATGACCCATAGCGACCCTGTGTAGGTTTTCTGGGAAGAGGCTGGTGGTTCTGAACCACTGATGTTTCTGTTAGTAGTTCAGTGCTTATCATGCACTGTCACGTCAGGATTCCAGTGACTCTATATTGTTGCTGCTGTTAAATGCCATTGAGTCATATTGCTTTAGGCAGTCTGCTGCACAAAGCCTCTTTACAGTGTTCAAGAGCAAAGAAGTCAGTTTGCTCTTGACTAAGGAGTGCCTGGCCCAAGCCATGGTATTTTCAGTAGTTTCATATACATGTGAAAATTGGACAACAAATAAATAAGACCATGGAAGATTGATGCACTTAAGTTACGGTGTTAGAGAATATTAAAAGGACCATGGACTTCCAGAAGGAAAAACAAATCTGTGCTGGAAGAAATACAGACAGAATGCTCCTTAGAAGCCAGGATGGCTAGACTTCATTTCTTATGCTTTGGACATATTATCAGTAGGGACCAGTCACTGGAGAAAGGATACCATGCTTGGTAAAGAGGAGGGTCAGCAAAAAAAAAAGGAAGACTCCCAAATGACATGGAATGGTACAGTAGAATCCACAACAGGCTCAAACATAATAATTGTGAGGATGGCATAGGACCTGGCAGTGTGTCCTTCTGTTGTACATGGTATCGCTATGAGTCGGAATCTATTCTAGGGCACCTCACAACTACAACAAAAGTAAAGAAATAAAGTTCTGTACTATTCCTTGGAATCTGATAAGGGTGGTTTGCTCAATTTGCTGTTAATGTTGTTATTGTTGTTAAGTGCCATCAAGTCAGTTCCATCTCATAGTGACCCTGTATAGGGTTTCCGAGGAGCAACTGGTGAGCTTGAACCAACAACCTTGCATTTCAAATGACCTTGCAGTCCAGCACATTAACCCACAGTGCCACACTAGGACTCCATATTGCTATTAATGGTGGTGGTGGTTCCGACTCATAGCAACCCTGTACAGGGTTTCCGAGGCTGTAAATCTTTACAGGAGCAGAAAACCTCATCTTTCTCACACAGAACAGCTGGTAGTTTTGAACTTCTGACCCTGAGATTAGCAACCCTATTTGTAACCACTACGCTACCAGAGCTCCTTATAGGGAATGAAGAAGCAGGCTGAGAGTCTGGAAATTATAAATGTGATCATTATATACTGATAAATTTGTAATTATTCTTTAATAATCTAGAATCATTCTTTCAATTCTTACTAGATTTTCAACACATCGTACCTTGAGCTGACACCAAATGGATATGAGAATGTTACAAATATTGTACCACCGTATAATGCCTTTTCAGCACAGGGCTCACCAGAGGTAAAATGAAGACATTTTTTATTAAAGCCTTTAAACATTTCTTCGTTATGCAAATGTATGTAGAAGGGGACTAGGTGACTAAGTTTCTAATCCATTGTTTGAGATTCAGTGATGTGATCCCACTCCAAGGAAAAATGTCAGAAAAAGGAAAATGAAAGAAAAAGAAAACAAGAGACTTTGATGAAGCAGTTACTACTCTGAAATAATAGATTGCTGCACATGCCTTGAGTTCAATAAGGATAATTAATGTTTTTATAAGGCTTTTCCCTTTGCTCATAATCTTGACTTTTGATTTTATAGATCATACCACAGAAGCTCTTAAATGCCATAGTTAGAAATTACCATATATGGAATTTAAAAATTTATATATGGAATTTAAAATTTTATTCTTTATCCTTTAGCACAGTATATATTGATTTTTAAAAAAATTTTGGTGAATGTTGAAAAATTCCCTGAAGATTTCTCCTGCAGTACAGTGGGTCTGTTTGTTAGGCAAAAGTCAGGAAAGACAACTTTTGTTGGTGCAGTATTGTGGAGCATGCTTATTCTAATTTGGTTTTGTCTTTAATGACGACAGCAGCATTATGTGGGGTGTTTTGTTCTCCCTCCTTCCCCTTCACAGGGAGATCTTATATATGTCAACTATGGTCGTACTGAAGATTTCTTCAAACTAGAAAGAGATATGAATATCAACTGCACCGGGAAGATTGTGATTGCAAGATATGGGAAAATATTCAGAGGAAATAAAGTAATGTGTTAATTTGCTTTTCTAGAGGGGAGAAGATAGGATATACCTTAGAAATGTAAATAATCAGCTTGCATCATGGTTTCAAAAGTTGCTTTAAAAATATTGTCCTTACATTTGTTACGGTTTCTCTGTATAGAAAATCCTCATTTTATGTTACTTTATGTATCTAGAAATGGAAATTAGTGTTCATTCTTTTTAATGAAAAAAGTAACACTTGTTTATTTTATTGAAGGAAATAAAAGTTTACAAATGAAAATCAATCAATCAATAAATAAAGTACCTCTCTGCGTTGCCGAACTCTACCCCCCAGTCACAATTACTTTATTAGATAATTCCAAATAATAAAATTATCATTAGATAATTTTCTTCTGTGAAATATATTATATCTGACTCTGTATACCCATTTCATACTTTATTTCTTATAAAGTAGGGATTTTATAATATTAGGGAACTGAATTTTTTTCACTCATCAATGATTTATAATATTCTTCCATGTTAGAACCTTGAGTTATATAATGTACTGCTTAAGTGGGTAGGATTCTGTACCTACATTGACTCTATTCTGATCTAGTATGGACTCTGCTTTCTAGATTTCTGACTGTGGGCAAGTCACTTAACTTCTCTGGGTTAATATGTCCTCATACATAAAATGGGAATCTCATAATAGAGTCATTATTACAATTGACTTAGTTAATATTTGAAAACATATGCTAGATAGTAAATGATATACAGTAATTCTGATCTGTTTATTGAATAAATATCTTATTATCTTAAATGATTTCATATTTTTTTATATACTTGATAAACAATCTGTTCAGTATGCCTCCTGTTGGACACTGGCTGTTTCTCAGATTTGTTTCACTTACAAATAATTCTGTGAATATTCTTGCCCTTATCTAGTTGTATATTTGTGTGAAGATTTTAGAGTATGGATTCTAAAAGTAAACTAGCTGATTTGTAATGTATGTTTTTTCATACCTAATGGGTATTGCCAAATTGCCCTCCAAAATAGATCAGATTATACCCCCAATTTTAAAAGAGTGCTTTCTAAATATTGGAATGTGTTCTAATAAAATAATACAGATGACTAGCTAGTGAATTTTGCTCTTCTTGGACAGTTTTGGTTATTAGAAATATGTTTACAAAAACACTGTGAGCTATTTTTTACACACTGAACTGTTTTGGATAGAATTTTCACTAAGTTTAGTTCCAAAAACCTTTGTTGAGTCCTTACTCTATCATGTGCTAGAATTTGGATGGCGGGTGGCTAAAAGTGAGGAAGACATAGACCCTGTTCTCAAAAGAAAACCCCTCAGTCTAGTAGAGAAACATTCTATAAATAACTTAAAACACTATATCCTATCCTTTCTTAGAAAAATATGGAAGTCATGCGAAGAAAGGAGACAGTAGTTTGCATTTGGGGGACAATAGAAATATTTCAAACAAGGTGCACTTTAATTTGGTTGTACAGAATAAATGAGATACCGAGAGAATTCATAATCAAAGCAAAGAGAACCTAATGTGTAATGACATAAGAAATAGTAGTGTGTAAATTTCCTTAAGCTACCTAATGAATATGTCAACCTATTCTATTCCTGTACATTGCCCTTGCAGGTTAAAAATGCCATGTTAGCAGGAGCCATAGGGATCATTTTATATTCCGATCCAGCTGACTATGCTGCCCCTGGGGTACAGTCATATCCCAAAGGATGGAACCTTCCTGGAACTGGAGTGCAGAGAGGAAATGTGTTGAATTTGAATGGTGCTGGTGACCCACTAACTCCAGGTTATCCAGCTAAAGGTAATGGATGAACATTCCATCCAGTTTGTGGTTATAAGCGGGATAACATTAAGCATCTGTAAAATAACATTAAATTTATATGTGTTGTTGTTGTTATGTTCTTTGGAGTCGGTTCCGACCCATAGTGACCCTGTACAGGGTTTCCGAGGCTGTAAATCTTTACGGGAGCAGAAAGCCTCATCTTTCTCCTGCGGAACAGCTAGTTGTTTCAAACTGCTGACCTGAAGTTAGCAGCCTGATTCGTAGCCACTACGCTACTAGAGCTCCTTTATGTGTAGTTATAATTTAATATGTTGTATATAATATAATGGAAGTCCTGTTGTGGTGCTGCAGGATAAGCACTGGACTGCAAGGTCAGTTTGAATCACAAGGTCAGTGGTTGAAACTCACCAGCAGCTCCTCAGAAACCCTCTACAGGGTCACTGTGGGTCGGAACTGACTCAACGGCCCTTAGCAACATGCAGTCCAATACAATCACAGCCCTGCACCATCCTCACAGTCACTGCGATGATTGAGCTGATGGCTACAACCACTCATTGAGGGCCTTCCTGTTTTGTTACTGACCCATTACTGTATCAAACATGATACTCTTCTCCAGGGACTAGTCCCTCCTGATAAAATGTCCAAAGTATATGAAACAAAGTCTCTCCATCCTGCTTCTAAGAAGCATTATGGCTGGACTTCTTCCCAGACAGATTTGTTTGTTCTTCTGGCAGTCCATGGTATAGTCAGTATTCTTCACCAACTCTTCCTTATTTATTGTCCAGCTCTCATAAGTATATGAGATGATTGAAAATATCACTCCTTGTATCCGCCACACCTTAGTCCTCAAAGTGACATCTTTGCTTTTTAATACTTTAAATAGATCATTTGCAGATTTACCCAATACAGTCCATCATTTTAGTAGCATGTTGTTCTTTAGTGTCATCAAATTTCAACTGGTTCTGACTCATAGCAACTCTGTATGAGGAGAGGCTGATGGGTTTGAACTGCCAACCTTGAGGTTACCAGTTCAGTGCTTATCGTTCAAGGCCAAACTAGTATTCCTTAAAATATTGTAGGATGCTATTGTTGTTAAGTGTTGTTGAGTTGGTCCTGACTCATAGCCACCCTGTATAGGGCTCCCAAGGAGCAGCTAGTGAGTTTGAACCACTTTACAGTCTAGTGCTTTAGCTCACAGCACCACACCAATACTTCTGTAGGGTTTGTTGTTGTTAAATGACGTTGGTTTTCCTCTAAGGTAGAAGTCCAGAAATACTGCTCTTTCTAAATTAGAATTTAGGGTTTCTGAATTGTGATCACCGAGCCCTGGTGTGGTGCTGTAGGATAAGCACTAGACTGTAAGCTCAGTTTGAACCACGAGGTCAGCACTTCAAACTCACCAGCTGTTCCTCAGAAACTCTATATAGGGTCACTATGAGTCAGAATTATTTGATGGCATTTAATAGCAACATTCATTTTGTCCTTCTCTAAATTGTACATTTCTACAAGTAGTTTGAAAAGAAAAAAAAAAGATTTTAAATAGGAGTTATTAAATTATAAAATGTCATGTTTCTTGACCTATGGGAAGTCATATTCACAATTAAGATAATGAATATATATATTCATTGCCTAAAAAAAGTTCTTTTTTTATTCATTCTTGCTAACCATTTTATACCCCATTCCTAGGCAACTACTGATCTGCTTTCTATCAGCACAGTTATTTAGAGATCTATCCATGTTGTTATATTTGTCAACAATAAATTTCTTTATTTTCTGAATAAAATTGCATTGTATGGATATACCACAGTTTGTTTATCCATTCACTTGTTGACAGAGATATAATTTGTTTTCAGATTGGGGCTATTACAAATGAAGTTTATGAACAATTTTATTTAAATCTTTGTATGGAAATTTGCTTTTTATTTTTCTTTAGTAAATACCTAGTGAGAAGACTGGATAATATGGTAGATATGAGTTTAATTTTTAAAGAAATTTCCAAATTGTTTCCAAACTGCTTGTACCATTTCATATTCCCATCAATAGTATATCAATGTTCTAGATGCCATCCTTTCACCAACACTTGGTATGATCAGTCTTTCATTCTAATGGTTTACTGTGTTATCTCATTGTGGTTTAAATTTGCATTTTCCTTCCAATTATCATGCCAAGCTTAATTTCATGCTGTTATTTGCTATCTGAATATAATGTCTCTGTTCTGTTTATCGTTGTTAGGTGCCACAAGGTTGGTTCCAACTCATGATAATCAAGTCCAAAGGTTATCATGTGATCTGCAAATGAAGATAGTTTTGTTTCTTTGTTTCTAATTGTATTTCCATTTCTTTCCTCTTGTACTGACTAGGTCTTCTAGTACAATATTGAGTAGACAGTGTTGGAAAAATAACCTTGCCTTTTTTCTGCTCAAAGGGAAAATCACCCAATCTTTCTTTATAATGTATGATACTACTTGAAGGTTTTGTAATAGATTCCTTTCATCAGAATGAGGGAGTTCACTTCTCCTAATGTGCTGAGATTAGGATTTTATATTGGATTTTTATGCAATGTTTTTTCCCTGTATGCACTGAGATGAATATGTTGTTATTGTTTGTTAAATTGCATTGGTTTTTGAATGCTAAATCAATCCTGCCATCCTGGAATAAATCCTACTATGTCACAATATATTATGAGTTGATGTTAACATTTTTTAAGAATATCTGTTTTTGATGATGAAGGGACATTGGCCTAGACTTTTTTTCATGTAATATCTTTCTCATTTTGGTTTCAGAGTAATTATGGAATGAGTTGGGGACTACATTAACCTCTTCATTGTTCTGCTAGAGTTTATGTAAAATGGGTATAATTCCATTTTGTAGAATTCTTCAGTGAGTCCATCTAGGTCTGGAATTTTGTTTCTGGGTATGTTTTGCATTACAAATGCAATTTCTCTAAGAGATATAAGGGTGTTCAGGTTACCTGTGTATTCTTAAATTAATTATGATAGTTTGTATAATTTGTGTCTTAAGAATTGTGTTCATATAAGTAGTTTAATTTGCTGATACAGAGTTGCACATAATATTATCCTTTTGTGTCTGAATATATTAGACTGATATCCATTCCTTCATTCCTGATATTGCCAAATTATGTATTTTCTCTTTTTTTCTGATCATTTTGGCTAGAAGTTTCAGTTTCACAGATCTCAAAGAACCAAGCTTTGGCTTTATTATCTACATTGTTAATCTGTTTCCTAATTCTTAGATATTTTGCTCTAATCTCTGTTACTTCCTTTCTTCTTTTTAATTTGGGCTTCATCTGTTTTACTTTTTTAAGGTAGAAACTGACATTATTAGTTTGAAACCATTGTAGTTTTATAAAATAAATATGTAGTGCTATAACGTTCCCTCTACAAGTAATTTAACTGTAAACTGTAAATTTTGATATATTGTGTTTTTATTTTTATTCAGTTCTGAATACTTTATTTTTTCATTTCTTCTTTCATACATAGCTTATGTGGACGTATGTTACTTAATTTCCAAATATTTGGGCATTTCCAAGGTTTCTTTCTGGTACTAATTTCTTTAATTTCACTGTGATCAGAAGACATTTTGCATATCTTAAGTCCTTTTACATTTATTGAGGCTTGCTTTATGAGCTAGAATATGGTTGTTGATGTTGTGTCTCTGCTGGTGGGTTTGAACTGCCTACTTTGTGGTTAGCTTATCCTATACGCCACATTGGTGGTGATAGTGGTGGCTATGTGCAGTGGAGTTGGTTCCGATTCATAGTGATCCAGTATAGGGTTTCTGAGGCTGTAAATGTTTATGGGAGCAGAAAGCGTCATCTTTCTCCTGCAGACTGACTGGTAGATTCGAATTGCTGATCTTGTGGTTAGCAGCTCAACTTGTAATCCACTACGCTATCAGAGCTCCTTATGCTAGGACTCCTTAAATGTTCTATGCACCTTTGAAAATTTGTAATACCTTTGTGGTGACATATTCTGTAAATATCAATAGTTGTTGTTGTTATTAAGTGCCATTGAGTTAGTTCTGACCCATAGCGACCCTGTATAGGCTTTCTGAGGAGTGACTGGTGAGCTTGAACTTCCTACCTTGCGGTTCAAATTGACTTTGCAATCTAGCGTATTAACCCACAGCACCACACCAGGATTGTTCAAGTCTTGTATACTTATAGATTTTGTTTACTTGTGTTGTTAATATTTTTGTTTAAGTAGTCAGTTCTTTTTTGTTGTTGATGTTATCTTTTAACGATACTTAAATAGTAACAAAATCTTATGACAGAGCTATTATTTCTTTTGTCATTTTTAATTTTTTCATGAAGAAGTGTAAATTCTGTTATTTTTATTTCATCATGCTAAAATCATAAGGCAATTAAGTTTTAAAGCTGATAATATTTCTCAATTTTTTTCCCTTAGAAAGAAAAAAATGTACTATTGTTTGTATAAAGTTATTTTATTTACTACCAAGATTTTTCTAATTATTTCTGGGACATACTTTCTAAACAACTTGTTAACTGAAGCTTCTTTAAGAAGGATTCAAGATATCTATGAGGTACTAAAGCACTCATAAAATTCAAAGGATTTTAGAAATGTCAAAACAAATTTGTTGTTGTTAAGTGCCATTGAGCCAATTCCAACTCATGTCCCTGCATGGGTTTTCTGAGGAGCAACTGGTAAGTTTGAACCACCAACCTACGATTAGCAGTTCTCTGGTGTGGTGCTGTGGATTAATGCACTGGACTGCAAGGTCAGTTTGAACCACAAGGTCGGCATTCAAGCTCACTAGCTGCTCCTTGGAAATCCTATACAGGGTCGCTAAGAGTCAGAACTGACTTAACGGCACGGAACAACAACTTATCTTGCAGCACCAATCCATAAAGACCTCTTAAAAGTGTCAAGGAGCAAAGAAATCTCTCTGAGGACTACTGTGCACCAGCACCATGTCCTCATTATTTCAGTCGCCTCCTCTGCATGTGACTGGACAGTAAAGAAAGAAGTAAAGAAAGCTGGGCAGTTAAGTAAAGAGAAAAAAGAAGAATTAATGCCTTTGAATTATGGTGTCGGTGAAGAATTTTTGAATATTCCGTGGATTGTAAGAGAAACAAACAAATCTGTTTTGGGAGAAGTACATCCAGAGTGGTTCTTAGAAGCAAGGGTGGTAAGACTTTGTCTCATATACTTTGGATAAGGTATCAAAAGGGACTACTCCCTGGAGAAGAACATCATGTTTGGTAGAGAGGCAGCACAAAAGAGGATATCATCAGTGAAATGAATTGCTACAGCAACTGCAGCAAAGGGTTCAAACATAGGAATTATTGTGAGGATGGTACAGAACTTGGTAGAGTTTTACGCTATTGTACATAGGGTTGGAACCAAATCATCTGCACCCCAAAACAACATAATCTCTATATATCTGTGTTATTTTAAAATGTAAAGGAATTAGTGTCTTAAAGTTGAATTATATGGGCCATATTAGATAAATGAATCATTTACTTTTTCTAGAACTTTTAATAAAATTTCAAACTTATAGCAAATCTGCAGCAGTCATGCAAGAAATTCCCTTATACCCCTTGCTCAGATTCTCCAAATGTTTTCACTTCATACTCTTGGTTTTTTCAGAGTACACCTTCAGGCTTGATGTTGAAGAAGGAGTTGGAATCCCCAAAATCCCTGTACATCCCATTGGATATAATGATGCAGAAAAAATACTTCGGTATATTTTTCTAATTAGATATAATGTTAAGATATTTTGCCCTAAATTTATCATTTTCTGATACAAAGCCAATATAATAAAAGTAAGGTCTTATATCAAAATAACTTCTGGAGTAGTATTAATAGAACACCCACTTTTTTTTTCAATAAGAGAATTGTTGTTGTTGTTGAGTGCCATCAAGTCAGTTCTGACTCATAGTGACCCTATATAGTATTTCTGAGGAGTGACTGATGGGTTTAAACTGCTGACCTTATGATTCAATCTGGCCTGTTGGTTCAGTCCATTATCCTGAAGTGCCACACCAGGACTCCAATAAGAGAAGTCAGTTTATTGGCTAATATAAAACACTGTTCCTTTTGCCACAAATGAATGTTTTAAATGCAAGAATATGTCTTAAATCAAAAAATGAATACTGAATTTGGATTTTTCAAGTAATCATTTTCTTAGATATTCATTATACATTTACACTCAGCCTCTATATTTAAAATGTAATAATACTTGTGCCTAAATCAGTGATTCTACTGCTACAGTTAAGAACTCTGCAGTATTAGCAAATTCAATAGCCAGTGTGGTTATTGAACATCTGGAATATGGCTAATCTGAAAATTGAGATGGACTGGAAGTATAAAATTCACATCTAGTTTTTAAACAAGAGAAAATATTTATTGACATCTTTTCTTATGGATTAAATGTTAAAATCATATTGTTGGTAGCTTGGATTAAATATATCTGTAAAATTAATTCGACTGCTTCTTTTTACCTTTAAACAAGGGTATTAGAAAAAGTGATTCATATTGTATTTCTGTAGAAGAGAACTAATATAGATATTTACTATCAGCTCGTAGATGACATGTATATGGATGTGATAAGAGAAACAAACAAACAAAACACTCAAGAACTGAATCTAAGGTTTCCATACCATGATTTCTGGGATAAGACAAGATGAATTAAGAATATGTAGTGGTGTTGGTGGTATCTCATGGAGTTAGTTCTGACTCATAGTGACCCTGCATAGGGTTTCTAAGGCTGTACATTTTTATGGGAGCAGAAAGCCTCATCTTTCGCCTGCAGAATGGCTAGTAGTTTCGAACTGCTGACCTTGAGGTTAGCAGCCTGACTCGTAGCCACATGCTACCAGAGCTCCTTAAGAATATGTAGTTGTTGTTGTTAAGTGCTGTAGAGTCGATTCTGATCCATAGAGACCCTGTATAGGGTTTCCTAGAAGCAGCTGGTGAGCTTGAACCGCCAACCTTGAAGTTCAAATGGCTTTGCAGTCCAGTGCATTAACCCACAGCGCCACACCAGGACCCCAAGAATATGTAGTAGTAGAGATAATGTTAAAATGA